AAAAAAAAAGATACTGGAAATGTAGTGAACTGAGTCATCACTTTCTGTAGACTCTACTTCTAGACTTAGTACAGATTATTTTCTTGTGAAAGATGATAATGGTCATTCTTTTAAGATAAAACCCTACTTTCATATACATCCTGATAATTTCAATCCGTCCGATATTTGTCACAATGTGAAATTTTAGCTATTAGGTGTGGATCTGGTGATTTGCTTCTGCTTTTCCACTTACTTCACTGTGCATTCATTTGTAATTAAAAGCTATTCAGGGTATTATTTTTGAAAGTATATCCCCACTTCGCTTTTAGTGCCTAACATTAGACAGCTGAGTGAAAGTAGTGAAAAACAAGCACATGCATGAGGAGAATGGAGTAAGCCGTGATGCATCATTGCACCGAATTTTTGTTGGACAACTGACAGAAGGATGGCTCAACAACACAAGGCATCCTGCTTGGCTCATAATTACAAATGGACAGGTTGTGGCTCTGTTTCTGGCCTACAGCTTGAAATCAAAGCCAACTGGTTTACCCTGTTTAGCCACACAGGATTACTATGTAAAAATACAGTACATGACAAGTTAATAGGTGGATTACTTTCTGCTTAGCTGAAAAGAGGACATGGGAAAGAAACAGGTTTAACTCCATCCCCTATTCTATCTTGCGCAATCTGGCAAAAACACTGTACCACATACTCGGGGCTGCTGCCCAGACATGACGTATCTGACTCTACAGAAAACAATCCTGTCTCTTTATCATGTGTTGGTGGGCACACCCGGACACAATAGCTACCAATAGTTAACACCATATATGTAAATCATTACACATAAATAATATCAGTATACTTTATCATGTAATGTTAGGCTTACAAAGCCTGGTATTTGGAGGTTGATTTGTTTTAGATTATCATCTGCTCTTGTCATTCTTCAATTTCAGCTTTTATCTGTTTTATTTTCAAGGTTTGCTGAACTTTTCTTTATTTTAACCATTGTACTCTTTAAGGATTTAACTTGATATCAATGAATACATAAAATGTTTTATATCAGTTACATGCCTGACTCAGGAGGGAGTAACATGAGAGGAGGAAACAAATTTAGTAGACAACAGAAGCTTTTCATTTACCAGGACAATGACATGAAAAGAACAATAGTGTGGGGTGGGAGCACTCTGCTTCTGCACAGTCTACTGGCTGACAGAAAGTTGGAGGAATGGCTTTTTTAAAGCCTTGTCAGGTGCTGCTGATTTCTAAGGAGCAGTTTATTGTAGGTCAGACTTCCTCGAACAACTAGAGCAGGCAGATACCCAGAGTTGGGATATAACAGTATCTGACTTTGTACTGGCTCAGTTCTTAATTGTTTTTTTGGCACTTTTTTTCAGCAGTTGTTTTGCCAATCTAACAATTATTTTCAGAACCCGCTTAGCATAACATGGTACCGAGTGCTCCACAGCAGAATACTGGTTTAGATGCCTTCCATGTAACCACATCTATGGTGTATATTTGGTGCATGTCTCTCGCTTGTTCTTTGTAGTTTCTGTCACGACAGGGCCATGCTGAAAGAGGCATGGATATAGCTTTAAGTATAGTGGTGGATAAAAAAAAAAAAGCTTTCATTCCAAGGGCATGTATACTTTGCATGATGTTGCTGTTTTATGAGCTCAAGCATGTTGCACATTAAATGTGAAGAATGCCTGCAGCAAGTTTATTCATGTTGCTACACTTTAACATTACATAACATTGGTAACAGTACATTGAAGACCTGTTTTTTCTATTTACTTCTTTGCATCTACAAGCCTGCTGCTGAGTTGTCTCCAACTCAACATTTAGCTTTAGGTTTAAAGAAACTGTTATCAACAATTGCTAAATATGCACTGGGCACTTATTTGCTTATGAGAAGTGTGAGGTCAAAGCAAAGAGACCAAATATTGACTCAGTATGATAAATAAAGAGCTGTACATTGAGATTTTGATTCTTTGTGTGAAGTACATTAGCAGGACTCACTCAATTTTATTCTATAATCACTTGTAAACCGAATGACAGTCCAGTTTAAAAATCCATCCATCCATCTATCTATTATCTATACACCGCTTAATCATCACTAGGGTCGCTGGGGGCTGGAGTCTATCCCAGCTGACTCTGGGCGAAGGCAGGGGACACCCTAGACAGGTCACCAGTCTATCACAGGGCTACACAGAGAGACAGAAGAGCACACTCACATTTATACCTACGAAAAATTTAGAATCACCAGTTAACCTCAACATGTTTTTGGACTTGTGGGAGGAAGCCAGAGAACCCGAAGAGAACCCACGCTGCACAGGGAGAACATGCAAACTCCACCGGGACACAAACCAGTGACCTTCTTGCTGCGAGGCAACAGTGCTACCAACTGCGCCACCTTGCAGCCCCAGCTTAAAAATACTCATTGATATTGTTTCATGATTCAAAAACACAGTAGAGAATCAATAGTTTTACTTTTGCAACATTTACAATTTTTTGAAGAAATAACATGACAAACTGTTACAAACTAAAATAACATCCATCCATGAGATAAATCTCTACCAACAGGCCTGTTTTGTAAGTTTTAAAGATACTCCATAAGTGAAGATTAAAGTTTTCTCTAAAAACTACTTTTGAAGATCATGAAAACTGGCAGAGAGTTTGTTGGCTGGATGTTTGCATTTATGTATATGTTTTTCTGTCTTTTTTTTTTTTCTTTTCTTTTGCTGAGGATGGAATACGCTTTTGAATTTAGTTATGTCTGACATCAATTGGCTGAAGTAAGCAAAGCACCCAAACCCATTTCTTGATTATTATATCAAAAAAATGTTCCTTCCACTCATCTCAGCCTTAACTCAGAATTGAGTGCCTTCAAATGCCTCTTGTCATGCAGCCCAGCTGCTTTGCCTCAGCAGGGGCTCTGCAAATTAAAAAGTTAAAAAGTTTGCCGCACATACTCATCATTGGCAGGGGAGCTCTGGATTGAGTTCCTTAATTATAAGAATTTGATGCGCCTCTGTAGATGTGTTAATCTCAAGAATGTGCATGCGTGACGGAATGAGATGTGGCCTGTCTTTGTGCACACACACAGTCATAGGCATGTATGTATGTGGGCTGACATGAGTTTACACAGGCAAGCACACACTTTAACGCATGAACACTTATTCACACGCTTCAGTACTCAAACTCCTTGTTTGACTCTTTTAGACATTTTCACATCTGCTTGAGCTTCCCCCACATGCAGCAGGATGTTGGGCAGCCACGTGGCATAGCACAGCACAGCATGGCTCTACGTAGATGAAGACCACATCCCCACCCACTCATCCTCTGACACCCGTCCTCCCCACTGACAAGACGCAAAGAGTGAAGAGAGCTCCATAAAAGATTTACTAGCGAACTGAGGTGGTCTCCCTTAGAAGCTGAGTGGAGGCCAGTGGTTGGAGGCGAAAAGGAGGGAGGGAATTCCAGGGAGAATCCCTGAGTGTCTGAAGTGTGATTTTGTATTCAGAGAAGAGATTTAGTATTCCACTGCTCAGCAGTGAGCAGTCTCACAGAGGCTTTCACCCTCTGTCACGCCCTGAATCCTGCAGATTGCATCTCAATAAAGTTCGATGGCTGATGGAAGGAGACACTTGCCTGCTCCTAAACACCAGCCAATTACAAATTCCAACTTGACTAAGAGAAAGTTTGAAAAGATCATATCACGGAGGTTAACACAAAGTCACGTGGAGGCATGTGTCTGAGGTTTCTGAGATGATGCCTGCTGAGAAATCCTACTAGTGCACAACATGCAGTTCAAACTGATTCACTTTCAAACCAGGAAATGTGAAATAACACTACAAGAGCTTTCACCTTATATATCTCTGGGTTTCTTTTCTATCCACACACATAAATGGCTTAAGTTCTCTGAAGACATTTTATCCCTCTTTCATCTTTAAAGTGTTTCCTTGAGTGCAGCCTTCTACTTTGTTCTTTGTTCTTTCTGACAGAGTGAAATGGCCCTGTAGTAAAGTACCAAAGTACTTTCCCTCAGGTATCAAGTAGTCTGCACCAAAGTAAATCTTTGTGAATACATTGTCATCAGCCTGTCATATGAGAATACACCACGTGTATACATTTTCCCTAAGAAGCTTCCCCTTCTGAGCTCTCTGACAAGGATGTGGTTTACTCATACCTACTGGCCTAAGCTGTCCCTGTGACACTTAAAAATCTGCTTGAAATATGAGACTTACACCTGTGTAGACCTGTTTAACTGTTTCCCAAACCAATGTCATTTAGCTCGTGACCTCCAGCATTGTAACTCTTCACTAAAAGTTTAAGTTACTCATTTTATAACCCCGCTTTCTGAAAACATGAAAGAGACCTAATATCATGTACTTACAACTGCTTTGACAAGTCCTGCAGGACTAAATCAGTTTCTACCGCAGCATTTCAAAACGTGAGTGCATCACAGGGTCATATTGCTTTTACAGCCAGTCCTGCCAAGAAAGGAGACATCTGATCTGCCACTGTCACCATTAATATAATTAGCTTAAGCTGCCTTGCAACCACAGATAGGCCCATTTCGCTGCACTACAGGAAGATACCACAGACTTATCAGTCACGGGGATACTGAGAGTTCCTCTCGCTATAAGTCAACTTGGATAATTTATACCCGCGACTAACAGGAGGAACTGTGGGTCAGCACAACTGAGTGTGGTGCCAGAGCTGCAAGAATCTGGAACAACTTCACCAAGTAAAGGCGCAGCGGTGCACACTGTTAGATGGATTTTACGCCGAAACTTTGGGGGAGACTGCGTGCACAGTTGAACGCATGCTGCTGTGATATTTGTGCATCGGTGGCACAAAGTTTTGACGCGCGTCCTGGTGGAGCTGCACAAGATTAGGAGGCACCTGAGGAATTTGCGTTGGGACGGTGCAGCCTCGTGAGCACAGAGCGTGCGCGCTCCTGTCTCCATATCACTGACACTTCAATTAATTCTGCTGCTCCACGAGACAGACATGCATTACGGGGCGCGCACGAGCAGCGAGGAAAAGCTCCGAATATGCAAACCGACAACCATCAAATGACACCAACCACGTGCCGTGATATTTAGCTCGTCCGGATCTGAAACTGAGTTTTGTCCAGGTTTTGTCGCGCATCGGAGCGACTTGTTAGCACGCTCTACTAGCAGCCCCGTTTGTGTTCGCACCCTGCAGTCAGCGGCCGGCCGGGGACGCACTTTGTAAAATGAGGTTGGGAAGCATCATTTTAACCGTCGCCCTCTGCTCTTTTAGCGCTTATTACATTTACGAGCCCATTCCCGAGGAGATAGAGGAGAGATGGAAACTCATGCTGACCAACTCTTTCTTCAGAAGTCTCAGCCACCTGGTAAGGAATAAACATAACTATATTCTTGTCACCTATTTTCAGATTTTAGATCTGCTGATACGGATTGTCACTATGGAAATAATAACATGTAATATGAGCTCTCTCCTATTGTGAGTGTGTGCACACACAATGTTTAGATTACTTTATATATATTTTTCTTATTTCGTTATATGTTAATTAACAAAATGTGAAAAAATGCATTTAGTTGTTTTTTTTTCAGAGTAGGTTAAACGTTTATTGTTTTTTTGCTGATGTAGATATACATATCGGTTACACCAGATTATGTCAGAAGCTAATCCATGTGTTGTATAGTCCTGCTCACCTGTTCTAATAATAGACCCTATTAAGGAAACTGTTTATGAGCGTTAGACTGCCGTGGTTTACTATAGCTCACTGTCGTATCACCACTGTGACTCTCTGTGGGCTTAAAACACGGTTTGAATACATATTTCTAATTTCATGATGGCCAATTGTAACACAATGAGCAATGGATTTATTTCCCAGCACCTTACTTAGTCCATTCAACAACACTTGAAAGGATGATGCTGAACATACTTTGTGTGTATCAAATATTTCAGACTGAACACATATTATATGAGAGGTAAGGAGAACTAAGTTCAAAACATGGATTCTTTTTGGAATATGATTTTAGCATGAAAAATTACAAAGATATTTGTTTCTCATTCTGTAACATCAAATGCATTGTACATTTAGACATTTTATTTCAGCCTCAGTTATCGAGCTAAATGTTTACCTGCTACACAAATTCAGAATGTTTTTTATTTATTAATAGGATTTCCTCTAACTATGCTGTTATTAATACCCCTAATAAATTATTAGTCGTGAAATGTGCCAGTGTTTATCTTTTACACTGATATGACCGCCTGACGGTACAGAGAACAGGGACTGAATGACTCTGATGAGTTTGTTGTGGGCACAGTAGAAGAGCATCAGCTGATAAGCCTCATGCTAGCCGCTGACTGCTTGCCTCAGCAGTCATAAAGAAGTACCACTCTTGCTTTTATGACATATCATTTTGTTATAACTACACAAAGCAAACATTTTTCGAGCACTCTTGACATTTTACAAGCATCCATGTGACTGCTACTTTCCCCTTGTCCCTCTTTAACACAGCACATATTTTTACATTTTAAACCTTTCTATTTTGAATTTTAAGGGGTAGTGTTTACAGACTATAAACTGGCTACCAGTATCTTTATTGTATGTAGAAGAGATAATACTGATAGTTTGGGTTTAACAAATGCTGGCATATTCAGCAATGTGTCTGTTTCTGTCTTATCTTGTCTGTCTGTTTCTATTTCCAGGCAGATCTTAGTGAATTACTTGGACTAAAGGACTACATGGGAGTAATGTACTTCATTACTCTGGCAGAAAAAGTAGTACCTGTGTCTGACGAGCATGTCAAGGTGACAGAAGAAAAGTTCGATGGAGTAGAAGTGTTACTGTACCAGCCAAAGCACCGGAGTGGTGACGCTGAGCTCAGGAGAGCCGTCATATACCTCCATGGTGGAGGCTGGTGTCTGGGGAGTTCCCGTAAGTTCATGGGTTGGGCTATCTTCTCCTTCACCACACTGAGCTATGACACTTTCGCGAATGATTTGGAAGATTAATGGTTGGGTAATATATTTTCTTGTCATATTTCAACAGTAATCCCACTATTACTCTGAGAAAGTACTATGAAAATTCACAGTTTTGTTAATATGACAAATGACTTTGGGGCTTTCTATTGACTCCCAATGGCAGCTGTTATGACAGGGTCATACATACTAAACAAACTCACACAAACACACATCGTTCACAGATTCCTGAGGAAATAACACACCGTCTGCTGGAGCCGTGGGGACCTCAGAGGGTGGGAACCCTTTGCTAATCCAAAACATAAAGACATGACATGCAGTTTGACACATCTCATGCTGGTCTTGCAATCTGTTGGTTGTAACAATCACAGTAACCTGGATTTTTTTCCCCCCCGAAGTACCGCCAGGCTACATGGCGGATTTATCTCTCATACCTTAGTGTTGCTGTCATGTAAGGTGATGTGCAATGTCGGGAACAGATGGATCGATTATTGAGGTACCTTGTTTTGCTTTAGAATCCCTTTTCTAAGCTGTGTTCCTCTTTTACTGTCTATGCAGGGATGAGTCCATATGATCTTCTGGCCAGAAACACTGTCACTGAGCTTGGTGCAGTGGTTCTCTCTGTAGAGTAAGTATTTCATATTTTATAGGCACTAATATGCAGCTATTCTAATATACTTCACAAACTGCTGTGTAAAAATGCTAACTGGCCCATAAAGAAGATGATATAGATATTGTAGGAGTACAGCATATAAAACAGCCCATTTTTAGCTACAAATTTCCTGTTATCATTGTATTATTGATGGTTAAAAACCACTGTTTCACCACTCTTTTCTCTGTCTCTCACACATAATTTTCTGTTATCAAATGTGCCTGTCCTCCCTCATTAGTCACAGGCTAGATTGAAGTGATGATGCAGTAGAGTGAAACTAACAAGTTTTCATTTGGGCCTTTCCCTGTCACAACTACATTCACTGTTGTTCTTTGGCACGTCTAGCTCTAGCGCTGTCTCTGTAAAGTACTCTAACTTTATTTTGCCAAGACTCTTTCTATCCTCTAATTCACTAGTCACATTTTCAGCTTTTCACTCAAACATTTAGATGAAAGATCTTGTACTTGAACATTAAGTTATGCTTTCATTTTGGATATATAAGTTGCTGGTGCTTGTTGACATACAGTATTTGAACAAGTCCATCCATTACATGGGTTTTTGCTGCCGGCAGTCTTATCTTATCTGTCTAATTTGAATTCCTGCCTGCATTCTGCAAGGGATTCAATGAGGACTTACAGCATGCCAGTCTCAGGGTCAGCCATGTGTGACATTTGGGTTCCAGATAGCAGATTGCTTCCTATTATCCCACTGAAAATGTTATCATCTATATTTTCCCTGGTTTAAAATGTCTGTACACATGGCCTTCAAAGATCATGTTTATTTATCCTTCAGCTTTAATCTGCAGCATCCTGATTTTTCAGGTACCGCCTTGCGCCTGCTCACCACTTCCCCGTCCCTTATGAGGACGTTTACCGTGTGGTCAAACACTTCCTCCAGAAGGGGGTGCTGGCCCAGTACTCTGTGGACCCAGGACGCATTGCTGTGGCTGGGGATAGTGCTGGGGGGAACCTGGCAGCTGCAGTCTCCCAGCAGGTACTGAATAAATTTTTTCCTTTGTGGTTTCAGCTCTATTTTTCACATATGAGGACATTATGAGGAGGTGACATGAAACGAGATCAAGGAGCCAATATTTGATAAATAGTACTGTCATGCTGTGAGGGGGAGCTATAAAAACCCATAGCATTAAAATGAAGCGCACACACTATGCCAAGTCATAAAGCTGAACTAAGCTCCTATAGTTGTTTATATTAAATGGGTGGATAACACAACAGTCAAGCTTCTACTCATCATATCAGTGCAAAGACAACTGACAGTTTGAAATTACAGCTGGTGAAAAAGGGGAAATACAAAGTAAAAGAAGAATTAAGACGAGGTCACGTACACTTGCTCTGAGGAAAGGTAGTTGTCACATTATTGGAAAAGAAAATTGTAAATATTTTTGTTCCCATTTAAGGGACTTTCCTTTTATCTCGCACAAGAACCATGAAAGATCATGAAAAAGAAAGAAAAAGTCAAAACTTACAGCAGGGCGATGGGCAACAGGTACATGAACAGATAAAATGAGGACTCAGAGAATAAGCCTGCGCAAAGCGAGGAGTTCTCAAGGTAATCTCTTTGGAATTTAATTTTGCAATAGTGATCTAGATTTAGGTTGTGGATAGATTGTCAGATACTATCCCCCACCTTTAGTACAGTTCACACACAGTACAAACACTGAATGACAAGTCTGTGTTTTACTGAATACAAATATGATAATAAAACAGTTGAGTTGAAAACACTATTCACTGTGTCCAAAAAATGCATGCATTGTAATGACTTTGGCTCTACACTGATATATGCATTCATACAGTGAGCTAGGATGAATCGGGAAAGCTAGCCTCGTAAAGTCAGCAGTCTTGCAAATCTTCCAGGGCTTTTTTCTTTTTCTTTTTTTTTAGCAGCTGTAATATCAACCTATAGAGCCTAGAATGGCTTTACAGGACTCTGCATCACTTTTCTTCTCATCATATTCACCCTGCAGCAGCAGCCTCCTGCTCCTGGCAAGGAAGACAAATGCCAGCTATAGTGAGGATGAAGTCCTGTGCTTCCTGTTCCTCAGATTCTTTAGAGAAAAATCTACAATGGCACAGCAGAAAAGGAACTCAGAGAAACATAACATTTTTGTCTGAGTGCAGAAAAGAATGACTGTCAAGCTGGGCCACTGGTTCATCACAGAGCACAGAGCTCTATAGGTACGGCAGCTTTGGGTAATGGAAGTCCACAGCTGGAAATGTTCTCTGCACAGCATCTACGTGGGTGTTGCTCTGACATCTTCACGTGTGTTTCTTACATACAGTACCCATAAAAGTCTTCACCCCCCTAGTAAGTTTCCCCCATTTATTGCTTTCCACTAATGAGTCAAGGTTGAGTTAATTGAGCTTTTTTGACTGGAATTAAAAAAAAAAAAAGAGAAACGTTAATGTCAAAGTGAAAGCACATTTCTTCAAAGTAATGTCAGTTATTAAAAAATATAAAATGAGCAATTGCATAAATATTCGCCCCATTAAAATGACTTATCTAATTCGACACAGCTGCAGCCAGTTGGTGCTAGAAGTCACACAGTTAGTGAAATGGAGATCATCTTAGTGCATTGAATGTTTCTTAAGTGACTATAGACACCTGTAGGACTGGTGACTCAGTAATCCTAGCTATAACGGCACCTCGAAAACAAAAGTCTTGAAAAGTAATATAGGAGAAAACTTCCAAGGGAGATGAATACTTTCTTTAAGCACTTTACATGTAGGAATTGTCTGGATATACGTGTTCCATGTATGTTCACTAGAAGGTGGTGTCACATATGGAAGCCCACAATGTAACGAACATGTAGAAGAACTCAGGAAACAGACTGATTTCACCTTGGTGACAGTATAAACAACTATGTCTGGGAAATAAACAAGAAAACAACACATAAATGAATGATGCAAACAGATGCTGGCCAGTGATATTAAGTGAAAGAGGAAGTTAGTTTTGTGTGCTTAAAGATAAGTTGTGGCAGTACTATGCTAATATGCATAGTGCTTCCTTTTAATCTCTGAAAGAAAAACAAAACTTTCCCACAAGAATCTATTACTCAGGGTGTGCATATCAGTGCGGTGAGCCTCACTCCTCTGTGAGCCTGTGTGACCTATAGTTACTACTAATATTCTTCCCATGTACCTCTCCCAGAGGCAGCATCCCAGATGTATTAGATCTTGACAACTTCAATTGTATGGCTCATTCTTGGTGCGTCACTTGGAACACTTTACAGCTGACAAACTGCCTAAAACAGTTGAGCTTTTAAATCAGCCGAATGTAAAGCGCAGCATCCCAGCCAACACATGCAGTGCTTTTGTGGCCTTCACCATCACTGTTAGAGAACCTCTGGTAGTGCACCATCAAGGGAAGTCGATCCCTCAGTGTGCTGTATTTCCAGGTTACAGGGATTCTGGAGTAGAAACCATGTCCCTGGGCACCCGATTCGTACATTTTCTAGCAATAATATTGACATTACATGTAAGGTGTCAAGCTGGTAGAAAGCACTCTGCTTATTTCCAGCCAGAAACCCAGAGCACCACAGTGACACCATGACAGTCCACCTACATGGAATGTGGTTCCCCCCAAAATTTTGTATGCCTTTTCTTTTCTTTATCAGATTTCCCACAGGGTCAGCCAAAGCAGCTCTCAAGAGAGGCAATTAACCCACAGAACTGTTGTTAGCTCAAAGATAACTTTCCTGCAGCTTCTGGTGCAGATGAACATATTGCATTCTACTACTACGCATTACCCCCTTTAGTATTGGAGTGGCAGTGTTGTAGAAGGACAGGTTCAGTTGTTCCTATATTAATGTTCCTAATTTATACAGATAGCAGTCCTGCTTTTTCTGTTTTGTTTAGACCTTCATAAGTATCCTTTTATATGTGCGTTTGACAAACAATTAGAAAATATGTTAAAGATTCTGTTTTGGCTTATTAACTTGTTGAGGACGGCTGTCCTACTGTCCCAATAACTCTGACTCTATCCACAAGTTAACTCTGTAATAGACCTTTTACAGGCATAGAAAGTTGCTGTGCATCATTATATTTATTTGCATTCGTTTAACTGCAGAGGTTTCAATGGGTTATTGAAGAGAAAGACAAAAAGGGAACACTGAGTGATGCAACTGTTCCTGTAAACAACCATGACTGGTACATAGGATCAGATGATGCTGTTTATTTCAAAAACTTCAAATATCACCTGATTGAGAAATGCTCATACGTGACAATTTTCTTTAAACAGATACCAATCTCTGTCTGTCTTTGCAGTTACAAAAAGAACCTGGACAGATTCAGTTTAAGGCCCAAGCACTCATCTACCCCGTGCTGCAGGCTCTGGACCTTAACACACCATCCTATCAGCAGAATCAGGACATGCCCATTCTGCCGCGCACTCTTATGGTGCGTTTCTGGAGTGAGTACTTCACTAGCAACAAGGCCCTCTTCAGAGCCATGATGGCCAACACACACAACAACCCTGAGTCTTCCAGCCTGCTGAAGTTTGTCAACTGGAGCGCATTCCTGCCAGAGACATATCATAGGAAATACAACTATAGTGCTCCTGCTGTGCTGCAGGGAGTTGGAGGTGAGGCAGTTGGAATGGATGGACCATCTCGATCTTTTGCTGACCCGAGGGCATCACCCCTGCTGGTTCCAGACACGGCCTTACGCTCTCTGCCCAAGGCCTACATTCTGACATGTGAGTATGATGTTCTCCGAGATGATGGGATCATGTATGTCACACGGCTCCGTGCTGCTGGCGTTGAGGTGACGCATGAACACTATGACAGCGGATTTCACGGAGCGATGATGTTCACTATGTGGCCAACTGACTTCCTGATTGCACATCGCATGGGAGACAACTATATAAAATGGCTCAAGGAAAATTTGTAAAAACTGTTGACTACCAGTAGTTATTCCAGATTTTTCCACACCATGCATCACTGTTTGGTTGGGTGTAAGTTTTTCCCATCAGATGTTTAACTTTTTGTAGTGTGTTTCTTTTTCTTTGATCATGTTTTTTTTTTGTGTAAATACATTGAGGAAAAATATGATTTAATCTCTTTTTCCACTCATGCATTTTACCACATTAGATACAAGTAGGAAAGGGGATTTTGAAAGAATAGTTGATATATTGAATATTGAATGTTGAATATTTTTTTTCCATGTAAATTGGTTTGAGTACAAAACAACAACACACATAACACCATTACACAATACATTAGTAACATTGTGTTTAGTTCAGCCAGCACAGTACTTGAGTAAAAATCAAACTGTGGACTATTACAAAAGTTGGAAGGTTGATTGTTTTTTAGCTCGGTTGCTGGCCTGGTATGATGCTCTGTATTATCGCTTCCCACCACAGGACTTGCTTATTGGTCTTATGTCCATTGCATCAATATCAGTACTATTAGTAGGTAAAGCATAGCACTGAAAAATGAACCACTGAACCATCCCATTAGGGGTTTAAAGAATCCAGTGTAAGTCTTGGCAAAGCAGGAAAGGATTTTCACAACGGTCCTGTTGGCCAAAGTTAACATTTATGAGTGAGTGCAGCTCATACTGAAACCTAAGATTGTTTTGCTGTTTTCGCAAAACCAGAACTTTTGTGTAATGGTTTTTGACCCAACGTCAAAGAATGTTTAATAGTATTCTGTTGAATATGGCAGCAGGTTTTACACAAGGGAACGACTTTAGCTTTGTATCCCATACAAATGTGACACACACTAAAAGTATATCATTTAGACAGGTGAATGAATGGCATCTTCCTCACATTAAAAAAATGATCTTTTTATTATCTAAGAGCATCTACCCCTTTTTTTTTTTTTGCTCTCCGCAGAAACATGTCAGTCTTTGTTGCTTGTAAAAGGTCCACGTCTGAGCTACAAGCAATGGAGTTGATAGTCCACATTCCACACAGGATACTGGTATTTACACTGTTCACTAAAGACCAGGCTGCAACAAACAAACATGCTTCACATGCATTTTGTGGTTCTTCACAGCTGAGTGTGATGTAGCACCATGTTAAAGAGAGGGATTCTTTTTACGAGGGAATTTTTGGAAACATTTTTTGAAGTCTCAGATTTCCTACGGTGCGATTTATTGGGGTATGTATGTGGGTGTGTCATTACCCCCTTTCTTTTTTCGAGCATCATTTTATTATAGTGTGTTAATGTGAGGAAACAGCTTTATATGTGGCAACCCAAAAAGTGCTCTCATTTGGGAACAAAAATAATGGTCACTGTATCATAAATTTGACTTTTATCATGTTAACAATAACAAGCGAGTATTGCTTCCATTAGATACCTGCCTTTGTGAAAAAGATGTGCAGTAGGCAATGACATAAAGGTCGGTGCTGTTAGAAGAAGTTGCCAGTGCAAGACCAAGTGCCAGTTTAATAGGAAAATTATTAGTATGGAAAATTGCGTAGGCACGTGAATATATGGCTGGCACTGTATGGCTGTATACATATCTCTTGTTTGTGTATTTAAGGCTCTGTCTGTATCTCAGTGAACCTTTAGTCCCTGACTTCTGATGTTGCATTTTTTCCTCAGAGGCCCAACTATCATGTGATGTGGCTTCAAACCATTGACTTGTCACTACTGTGTATCTCCTTTGTTTTTGTCAGAAGGGGACATCTGGGCCCTTTGACCTTTCAGCACACGGGACAGCTATCTAAAAGAAATCATAATCATCTGATCAACACTGCTCTGGAAGCTTTACTGTTCAAAAAGAGCTACAGTTAATTTCCCTTCTTTTAAGCATCTATGTGTTTGAATGTTTTTGTTTTTTTCTTTTGCTGGTTTTCCATTATTACAAAGACAGCATGCTGTCACATTAAGGTAAACTTTTTAAACAAGCTTTACAGAGAACCCTGGTTCTTCTGTTTAAACACTTCTACATTCTTCATTGTAAATGTGACTATTTCTATTTATGGCTAGGTTTTCTTCTTTGAGAACATGTGATTTGCATCATTTTTAATTTTAATATTATCTGACAATAAAATGACTTGATTGTTCACTACCACTGATTATTTATATTTTGTGTGCAACCACATATCATGTAAGGAGAGAGAGGCGTTATTGGGAAGATGAGCAGAAGTTTTCTGTTTTGGTACATGATGGTACAGCACATTACACATAGAGAGGGATATTCTGTATAGACTGATTCAGACTCACTCAATCCACTTAGCATCCTTGTTGGATTTGTTGAGGATTCATACAGCTGAGGGAGTTGATCTGCAAATCATCTGTGTTCACAAATATACCGTCAAATCTATCACTACACACACCTACACACTTCTACTCAGAGAGGATGACACACGAGTGTGAATAAACCATTTATACAAAAGGTTGATTCAAATAGAGCGACCTTGTTCATCAGGACACATTAAATAAAACACCTCATGCCTCCAGAGTGTAGAGTGGAATATTTATGTGCTACACTATCCTGCTCATTTTGTTCTTTATCCTGGCCTTGTATGCATGCACATACTGTACATGTATATGCACTTATTCATCCCTCTGTGGATGAAAAATACATCCTGTTCCCAAATTCCTTCTCTGCAATGGCAGGCTAATAACAGAAACGTGAAATGGATTATGGCAAACGATTCCTTGAATCTGTTATATGTAGTAGTTGTGTACGGATTATACCTACACGCAGTGTAGACTGTGCACCAGTACTCTGGTCACGCACAGGAAAGTCAGTAAGAATGTACGCATAACTCATACAAATATGCACTGTGTGTAAACAAGATTTTCTTCGGTTTAGCGCACCATTGTTCATTCAATGAATCATAGTTTTTGAAGCTCAAATACTTAAAGTTTTACGGCTAAAGTCAGTGAAACCAGATTTATTTATGCATTTTGACTGTCAGACTTATGTCGCTAATTTATTATGAGACCATACATTTGACACACAGCAATCATCCTAAAACCTGTATAAAGACCATGTATCCTTCAATGCCCTTTTTGCCTTCGTGACCTTGGTGCAGTATTTTCAAAGCTTTAACATATGAGGACATAACCTTATAATAATATAATATCAAGTTTCAGATTTTGTTTGTCCTCACTTTTAATCTTTCTTTGTCTTGTTGGCTCCATCTCAATAGCACTCCTTTGGTTTTTATTATGAAATTTGAAATACACACAAAGAACTTGACTTAGTATTTCATCATTGCTTATTCTAGCAGAGATTCCAATCCAAATCAAACAATGGATCGAGTGTGGTGTAATTTGTCATGATGGAAAGAGAGCCTGTCTGTTGTGTGAAAGCCACGTGAAGTTAAATGTGTTTACTGGGGATTCGGAGACTTAGTATTCAACAAATGTCACTGATGCGGCTTTTCCACTAAATTAGCTCTGTTTTTTTAACCGGTTTAATTTAGGACTTTTTGAACCTTGGTGCTACCTAACAAACAAGCACACAAGCCCAGTTTTGAGTGGAACTGCTATAATCAACAATGCACCATTAACAGAAGTACATTGAACATAGTTTTTCCAACCTGTAGGACAGGACACTACCACAGATGTTGTCAGATCAAGGAAACAGATTTTTTTTTTTGGTTGAACTACTCTGAACAGATCAGAATCAGGTGCACAAACTGAGACACTGTCACGGAACAGACTCAGAGACTCAGACAGACACGGCAGAGACAGACGAATAAAGCAAATATATGTTTACAATTTGTACAGGAAGCAGGAACACAGTCAGGAACTCTATGCCGATGCCTAGGGGCAAGGCAGACTAATACAACAAAAAACAGATTTTACGACAAGCATTAGTATTAACTAAACAAGATAGTACGCAACCTGAACTTGGTACCACCAAACTGGGAGGGTAGAAAGGAGACTGAAGGCCTACTGACTAGTGGACACCAGAGAAGGGGACGGTGGGCAAGATGTGGAGATGGCAGACAGGTGCAGTGACCAGGTGAGTATGATCCGGGAGATTTTCCAGGGAGAAGCCAGATGCACAGCAGAGATCAGAATGTAGGGGCTGACCAGATTTCCAGGACCGGCGGGGTGGGTCCAGCTGTGGCAGAGACAGAACGGAGGTTAAACAGGACTCAAAGCACGGTGAATAGAGCAGAATAGATCAGAGCCAGAGATCAACTAACAGAAGGATAGTTTACGGTCTGTCGTGGTTTGAAGTCTGCTTTTATGGAGAGCAGAGGTGAGTCATAGGTTGGAAACCATGCCCCACCACAGGTGAAGACACTCGGGTAACCGGCTGATTCACTGCACCTGTCCACACCACACACACCTGCCAGGGCATGCCCACCTAGGAACAAGGAAAGGAAGGAAGAAGAAAAGGGGAAGAAAGGATGCCACTTGGTGGAGCCAGAGGTGGAGGGCATGACTGACACAAAACATTCCATGTTGATGGAAAACGACATTGGGGTCTAATTTGAAAAAAGGCTTTCCTGAGAGACTTCTGAATAATTCCAGCTGTAGAAATCGATCTGAATATTATTGCAACATACAAGAAGGTTTCAGTTAACCATATAAAAGAAAAGTAAATTAACTTTATAGAAAAAAGGAATTAACGCCCAAAGCTATTTATGTGCTGAAAGGAAATACAGTGAAGAAACTAAACAACAAAAAAAAGCTTTTCCGTCATCTGAACCGTAGAATTTTTCAAATGTGGAAAAATATCTGTGCAGAGTTAGTCATGCAAGTCATAGTAAGAGCTAAAGTAGAAGGTCGCTGCACTTCTCTAGGTTAACGTTTCACCTCTCATTTAAGGGGCTTTTTTTTTTTTTTTTGCTTCTGAATGACTGATAGGGAGTCACACACAGGTTGTCACCCCAACTCATATGACTAAGGGCACATTGTATATGCAGTCCAATGTAACATGGAGTGCATAGACCTGTATGTAGGGGAGACTGAATGAGCACTCGGCAAGCATACGATTCAACACAGAGTTCTCAAAACTCAGCAGTCCGCCTGCATCAAAAAGAAAAGGCACAGGTATGCTCACATTCAGGAAAACAGGGCAGATGTTGGAGAGACAAAGTCGTGTATGTCAAACTGGAACCACCAGTTGTAGACTCCTTCCGGCAACAGTAGAAGGATTGTAATGCAGTCTGGAGATCTCCCCAGAAAGTTTCACCATCTTGAATCATCACTGACCTGAAAGTTTCACAACCATTCACACCTCAAGGCATGTGAGTCTTGGGTCATAAATGGACCATTAGCAATGTGAACAGGAGCTGACAATATACGTGTATATTCATTCCAAGCCATAAATCATGATTATTTCATCAAAGTCTGCGCTCCTCAGTGCAATTGTAAAGGTTCAAGGTTCAAGGTTTAGAGTTAAAGGTTACTTTATTAATACCCGTGGGTAGATTTGTTTTGCAGAAAACAAACGACAGCATTTTGGCATTCCATAACAAAATACACATTAAACCTAACAGGCAGGTACTTGATCGAGTGACAAGACAAAAAAAAGACGAGACAAAAAAAAAAGTGCTCAGTATTCTGCCATTCGTCAATATAACAACAAGGAAGAAAAAGATGAGACAAAATAAATAAGATCAAGATAAATAAAAATGAAACACAATAAAACATCTTAGGGAAATAAAAGCAATCTCTGGAGAAAAAAAAAAAACAGGATAAAAACATAAAATTTAATTTAAAAGTCACAATGATAGATAGAGCTAAGAAACAAAACAAGTAGAATAAAATAAAGTGCAAATGTCACTGCTTCTTATTGAGCTCAGTGACAGCGACAGGAACAAAACTGTTTTAATAACGTTTTGTCCTGCGACCAACAGTCACATGGCAAAAACTTTCAGCTTTTCAGCTGAACTGGGCTGAACTGCAGGCTGTGTTTGCACAGAGCAGGTATAACAAGTATGACAACTAATTAAACATATACGTGGTAAAATATTTTAAGTATCTAGACCCACGTTTTCTCCAGTGTCTGTAGCACCTGTGGACACTTAGAAAAGATTTTTGTATGTTAATTTTATTTTTTCATTTTTTTTTGTAAAATTAACAATCAAGGAAATGTAACTATTTTTTTCTGTTTTTGCTTTTTAATGATTCGAGGCCTTGTAACTGTGTCATACTGCATAAAAGACATTTTTGAGTTCTCGCTATGTCTTGTCCAGAGGTGCAGGACTTTCGCAGCAAAAGCTGAGCCCACAGTGAGTAAAATTGAGCAAAAAATAAATAAACAATTAAAAACAGAAAGTGCTTGAGGTTCAGAAGACGAACAATCAAAATCAAAAGTTATTGATACACAGTGAAAGAAGAAAAGTCACTTTGCACTTTAAAGTCATATGAGAGCAGACGATTGTTATTAGTCAAGATATATTTCATTGCTTTAAAAAAACTGGCACGGTATAATATTGGCTGTAATGTACAAACATCCCCCAAAATATCAGTAAAAGTGATAAAACATGCCTTCCCATGTTTATCCAGTTCCAAATTATTTTTCAACAGACACAAATAAAAACAACATTCAAGTAAGCTGCTTAAAATGAAATGTAGTTTTATCTTATTCCACTTCATGGACATGTTTTATCTCCTTCTAACCTTATATACGTGTGGACATGGTAACGGAAACAAAGTGCACGTCAATATCATTAGTAGGCTTTTCAAATATGTTCTTCTAAGACAAAGCTGTAATGTAGTATTAATATTACTGGACAATATTACATCTATTTTTAGGTGGGAAATTATTATTAAATAAATTATAAAAATATTAGGAATTAAAGCAAAAAAATACAGCAAAGCATCACTATGTAAAGTTAGAGCTGACTCATGTATAAATGTTACGCTGATGTATGCTTTTGTATATGCAGGAATCCAGTGGTACCTTTCGTCAGGCTTGCTCTCTTTGCCGCTCTGTCTTTCTGATTAGCTTTCTGAGATTAGAAAGTAGGAGTTCTCTGAATTTGTCACCCATAAGGAAGTAGAAAACAGGGTTGATGACACTGTGCAAGAAGGCCAACGGTCTGGACAAAATGTACATGCTCTCTATGTACATCTTTGTACACGACGGCAGCCCTGCCCAGGGTTGCAAAGATGCTATTCTGACATTTCTCAGCACATGGTAGGGGGTGTAGAGAACCAGAAACATGACTGCAGCTGACACGGCAACCCTGAGAGGCCGCTTGTACGGTGATGTCCTGCGCTGTAGGGCTCTGTCCTGGGCACGGAGCAGATGTGCAATTTGGTGGGAAAAAACACAAAGTCCAACCAGAGGGAGAATGTAACCAGTCACGGTTAGCCCCAAGCTGTAGCCCAGTACACTGATATCTCCTTCTAGGCTGGCAAAATCCATGCAGCGAGTCATATTGTGTCTCTGCAGGTCCTGGATCATCAGCGCTATCATTGGGGCAACTTCCACATTGACAGCCAGCCAGCTCAACCCCGTCACGATCTGGGCTGTTCGTCGCCTCAGCAGGTAGTGATTCCTCGTTGGGTGTTTTATGACCAGGAAGCGGTCCATGCTGAGCCAAACCATAAACAGGATGGAAGAGTAAAGATTGACATGCAGGACATAGCGGTTGATAACGCAAGCATAGGGACTGTTTTCTGATTGGTTATTTGCGTAGAGGTAGGAGAGGCGTGGCAGTGTGCAGAGGAAAATAAGATCGGAGACTGCCAAGTTGAAAAGGTAAATATTGTAGCTCTGCCACTCCGGCAAACAAAAGACGTAGCCGAGTACAACCAAAAGGTTGCCAGGGAAACCGATGCTGAACTCAATTCCGTAAGACGGTGACAGGTAATACTTGGCCAGCCCACCAACCACATCTGGACAGTTGGGCGCCTGGCAAAAACAGGAGAAACGAAACAAAGACGAGAACAGGACAAAACAAGTGTAAAAAGAGGGAGGGGAAGGAATGATTCAAACATTAGACTTGAACAACAACTTCCAGGAACACATTCAAAAGTCCAGCGCTAACCACATTCAGCACAATATACATACTGTAAGTGTAAGAACAAGACTCACCATGGTGGATTTATTGGAGGAGTTGCTGTTAGCGTGAGCAGGGAGTGCGGCCATGAGCAGGTGCAGCCACTATCTGTACAGTGGAAACAGTAAACACAGTCGGCTGAGGGTACTGGAGCCTCTAATATCCGTCTCATTTGCATTTACAGCGAGGAAAGAAGCTACAAACCAAACAAAACCTGGGAGAGCTACTGTAATAACAGACATAATTATCGACCAGCTCTCACACAGTAGACTAGTTTCGTTTGTAGTCACCAAATGTCATTTAAACATGGGTCTAACATCCTATTAAAGTCTAAAAATGAAACTTACATTTGATCAGGCTGGAACCAGCTGCTCTAACAGTATGAAGAAGCTGTGGTTTCATGTGATGTGTGTACAATCTCATATTCCATTTTAACCTTTAACCTTTTAACCCTTCACGCATATTTTTACTGACATATCTATTCCATCTGATCACGGTGCATGAAGTGATGCATGATTGTAAATTTGAAGGATTAATCTACAGGATTCTTCATTAAGCCTTCTCCACCTTCACCTTGCCATTTCCTGCACTAACTTGTCTGACAGCATCTTCTTAAGTGTTGTTAATTGGAAGTTAAGTTAAGCTGCAAATCCTCTTATTCTATGAAGGAAGTGTTGATTTTTTTTAGACTTCTAAAGCAATCAATGGAGCCTTCGGGCCTAAACACACTATCTTTGTCTTTACTGAGGAAAGGATGTTGGATATGTTGCTTTTAAACCCTTTCACATTGCTGTAAGGTTACTACCAATGACAGGATGCACTTTTTAGGTAACAGCAGCAACAGTCTGTTAAATTATAAAGTGATACGATAATTGAATTTAAAAAGCCCCTTTTTAACTTTACTCAAAATTTGTACTTACAGCGTCCTACACGAGCTGCAGAATACGGCTGGTCCCGGTTTGGTTGTTGCGAGTAAAACTGACTGAATTCGCCAGAGCCACCTTCAGGCTTAGAAGAATCTTTCTCCTAACAAGCAATATGGAAATGTGGAAAATGCTCAGTGTAGAGCAATGCAGTGTCTCTTCGCAATTAAGACTGAGTCTGACTACTTCTCTAAATTGCAGTGTGTATATAGTCTTCCAAATGTTGCCCCTATTTGGGCATTTTCTGTCAAATGACAGCCTTTGAGTTGCAAACTTTACGTCACGTCTATCACTTCTTTTACATGAATTCGTTCCTCTTTTTCTTTTCTTTTTCTTTTCTTTTAAAGACAGTGGTTTTTGACCACATTTGTGTCATTTGTTTCTGTGAAGTCACGTTGACAAAACAGAATTATTTTCTCTTTCAATTTCACAGTGAACCCTGTTCAGGACTTTCATGTTGCCATACGTACAAGATCTTTCAGGGTCCATTTGACCCCAAGAAAGAACATCTGCAAAATATTTGTTGGTATTCATTGCAGACTTTTATACTACTTTAAATATTTTTTGGATAAGTTGACGTATTTTTGGTTCCAAATGCATGACTAATGTCCCTCTTTTTTTAATATATATAAAAAAAACCTTCAAAAAAACAAAAAACAACAATACCTGTCACCTAAACCAAATGGCCTGGGGTCCAAAAGACCCAAAAGTCCCGAATAGGGTTAATGTTGTAAAATGAAAGGTTTGAAAATGTTTCAACTCTTTACACAATTGGTGAATTAAACACAAAACTGGTTATATGTAAACCTGATCATATAGGGGAGAAATGAGCCAGTTTTTTACTTGACGTGTCCCTACAGTGGGGTCTTTACAGTAAATAAAACATGTACATACACCAGGATGAGGGGCATCCCAGGAAATAATTGGTTTGGATCTAAAATAAGCTCTTTTTTTCAAAAAACACATGACTGACACATGGCTCATCTTGCCCCTGGCAATGTGTAAATTGAGCCTTTGGAGAAAAATGGTCTCAGTAAATTGTGCCATCGATTGCGTTGAAGTAAAATTGAAAATGTTATACCTCATACAATGCCATAGCAAAGCAAGACAAAATCAAAACACCAAGTGACCCCTTAGAAGTTATCTTAAAGATAAAATGTACAACTTTAAAGGCAGATTTCCTTCAATAAGGCTCACAGGTAACACATTTTGGAACAAAATCACATTCAAAAGTTTTACTGTCATTTTTACAAAACTGGGCTACTATTCAGCATACATTAAGGTTACAACTTTAAAGGCCATTTGTCCTCAGTACGGCCTAAGGATTTCTTCTTTTTTTTAGAACAAAATTCTGAACATGAGCAACTGACTGCCATTTTCACAAAAACAGGTTCCTGTTCAACATCAATAAAGTTTACAACTCCAAAGACCTATTTTCTTCAACAAGGCCTACGTATTTTACATTTCCATAATGACATCAAGTTAGAAAAGAATAAAGCAATTCTCACAGAACTGGGTTTAATACAGAACATCCCACTTGTCAGGCGTATTTGCAAGATCAAAATTAATTGTTTTACACATTTCAATAATCGGTCAGACACAACACTCATGAAAACCTAAACATGAAAAATTTACTCAAACAGCAAAAAAAAATAACCTAAAACAGTTTCCTTACCTTTCCTCCATGTACTCCTTCTCTTCACTGGGGGAGCACAATGGATACCTCTTCAAAAATGTTTGGCCACATGACCAGTTACTTTTATGGTTTTCTTGAAACAAGAGGTGGCTCAACTAAGCCACAGGCTCATCTTGCCCCACTCTCCACTACTGAGTTTTCACACTAATACATATTTAATGTTCTGCATTTTAAAATTGTTTTTCTATTTTAAAATATTTGTAGCATATAAACAATCATTTTTCCTACTTTTCCAACTTGGAAGTTGTTTAGTGGAGCCACAAAAAACTGTGGTCCAAAACGTGCATGTGTGGTCCATGAACAGCTCTGTATGGACCTGAATCAAGCCACCAATGTAGTCTCTTAGAAAGTTGTATCTGGTTGAACTCAAGGCGGTCAGGCAGACATATGAATTAATTTCAATGGGGTAGAGTATATAACTACACAACATTCAGCCATCTAAGGAGCTGTCACAGTACTGGGCCTGTGCGTGTATTTTGAGCATACTTCATGTTTGATCTTAACTGCTGACTCTAATCCTTATCTGAAGCATTATTTTTCTGTCATGGTGGCAGCATCATGTTCTATCAGATTCAGCATTACTGGCCAAACGAATGAATCTGCACAGATGTGGGTCGAAACAACAAACTGACTGGTTGATACTTTTCTTTTTAAAGGGTTGACTTCAGGCCAGGTTTAACCAACTGTATCATTTTCAATATCTTTTTTTTTTTTTTTGTCTCATTAGATGGATCTGTCGATGGGCTTATAGCAGTGGTGCCCAATCCTGGTCCTCGAGAGCCCCTATCCAGCTCATCATCAAGCTCTGCAGAAGCCTGATGACGATCCTGATCATGTGAATCAGGTGTGTTGGAAGAGGGAAACATCGAAAACATGCTGGATAGGGGCTCTCGAGGAACAGGATTGGGCACCCCGGCTTATAGTAATTGTGGATTTATCTTTCTTATCTCATTGTAAGCATGCATGCAATGTAAAGCCAAAGTCTCTGTTGCTGTTGCAGTTACAGGGCATAAGGTCATTAATCATTAATCGTTAATCATTGCATATTAAACGTGGTATGCGGACACACATAAAAAGCATGTGAGAAGTGTGACTTTACTAAAATGGTTATCACGATCAAAAGAACACATTTAAATGCTCCTTGTAGCAATTTAGTAAGCGTTAATATTGTGAGCTACGACTGTAATTCATTTCGTCTGCTCTGGAAACACGTGCAGTTACCACAAAAGTATCACAGTTGTTAATTTTTAGTCTGAGATGACGCCTTCGCTGGTTGTGCAATGCGTCCTGATCTTGATTATGTTGATCTGATAGGGAGCCTTCAGTATATTTTGTCAACAGAGCGTACAATGTTTGTCAGCCTTTAGAAAGCACATGATTTACTGCTGAGAGACATGTGAGATAGACTCAGGGTAGATTTTTATTTTTTTTTTACCTTGCAGAGAAAAGAATGTAACCTAGGTATAACAAAATGGGCATGTCCTTAAAAACCCCAGCCTCAGTCTGACTGTATTTATTTTGGTTATGTTACTGTAGGATCAAGAGTAATCTTTCAGCTTTTATCTTGTTTACATTTGTTCTAGCGAAGGCCAGCAGGGGGGCAATGAAATAAGCCTATTTTAATGCTGACTTGGGACTGCTTATGTTACGCTATCCCTTCGTTTACATCACTCCCAAAAGGTATGTGACTGTCTTTGAATTTCAAACGGCCTTTCTCCGGATGCCACAGAAGGAATGGCCGTCCAGTATCAACCTTGAGAAACTCTTGTCTTATCAGGCGCTGCTCTCCTGATAACAGCATGTCTTCCATCAAACACAGCAGGATTTCTGTGGTTCACACACAAATCTTATGGCTATATCTGTGTCTGAAGAACCGCTGTGAGACTGGGTTGAGCTGAGGACATGGATGTAAGACACTGCGTTTTTGCATTTAAGTTAAAACATACATTTGCCTCGCTTTCAGTTTCATGCTTTAAGTCGTACTCTTAAAGCATGTCTTTGTTTGCTGTTATTATTGCTGAAGTTTTTTTTTATCTGCCTCACCTTGTTCACAACAGAGTTCAACATTTTCCCCGTCTGGAAAAGAGACGAGGACATACTTTAGAGAATCAGATAATGACAACAAAATAACCCAGTGGTGTGGCTTGTGATGTGTTAATAGTTTTAATCTACTTCTGGTCAAGCGTTTTTACTTTGTATAGAACAACAGTGCTCTCTGGTGGAAGACCGAAGCAAACATAGGTCTCAGAGTCTTGTTAAAAATGTTGGCATTTCACACAAGAACAGTTTAATTGTGTGTCCATCAAGTATTTGCTTGTATTTTACATTGCAGAATTTTTCGCTTGTACAGTTGTAAACAAAACTGTGCATACACTTGTAAAGACTGTGTCTATCATGGCAGTCTTGAGTTTCCAGTGCTCCTACAACTCTCACTTTTCTATGGTGGAATCATTGAAACACATGCATCTTTGTTGCAAAAACAATCATTCATTTTGGTTCTTTCATAGATTTACTACAGGTCTTCTGGAAATACGATCAAATCTGCTCGGTCAAAAACAGACAGAGCAACTTGAGTTATCAGGTTCGGTGATATAAAGTTGTTCATCAGTCTCTCCTGGTGACAAGGCCTCTCCACTTTTCTAGAGTTAAGATTTTAGGCCTGTCTCCCTGAAGTCCTGACNAGGACTGGTGACTCAGTAATCCTAGCTATAACGGCACCTCGAAAACAAAAGTCTTGAAAAGTAATATAGGAGAAAACTTCCAAGGGAGATGAATACTTTCTTTAAGCACTTTACATGTAGGAATTGTCTGGATATACGTGTTCCATGTATGTTCACTAGAAGGTGGTGTCACATATGGAAGCCCACAATGTAACGAACATGTAGAAGAACTCAGGAAACAGACTGATTTCACCTTGGTGACAGTATAAACAACTATGTCTGGGAAATAAACAAGAAAACAACACATAAATGAATGATGCAAACAGATGCTGGCCAGCGATATTAAGTGCCTGAAAGAGGAAGTTAGTTTTGTGTGCTTAAAGATAAGTTGTGGCAGTACTATGCTAATATGCATAGTGTTTGCTTTTAATCTCTGAAAGAAAAACAAAACTTTCCCACAAGAATCTATTACTCAGGGTGTGCATATCAGTGCGGTGAGCCTCACTCCTCTGTGAGCCTGTGTGACCTATAGTTACTACTAATATTCTTCCCATGTACCTCTCCCAGAGGCAGCATCCCAGATGTATTAGATCTTGACAACTTCAATTGTATGGCTCATTCTTGGTGCGTCACTTGGAACACTTTACAGCTGACAAACTGCCTAAAACAGTTGAGCTTTTAAATCAGCCGAATGTAAAGCGCAGCATCCCAGCCAACACATGCAGTGCTTTTGTGGCCTTCACCATCACTGTTAGAGAACCTCTGGTAGTGCACCATCAAGGGAAGTCGATCCCTCAGTGTGCTGTATTTCCAGGTTACAGGGATTCTGGAGTAGAAACCATGTCCCTGGGCACCCGATTCGTACATTTTCCAGCAATAATATTGACATTACATGTAAGGTGTCAAGCTGGTAGAAAGCACTCTGCTTATTTCCAGCCAGAAACCCAGAGCACCACAGTGACACCATGACAGTCCACCTACATGGAATGTGGTTCCCCCCAAAATTTTGTATGCCTTTTCTTTTCTTTATCAGATTTCCCACAGGGTCAGCCAAAGCAGCTCTCAAGAGAGGCAATTAACCCACAGAACTGTTGTTAGCTCAAAGATAACTTTCCTGCAGCTTCTGGTGCAGATGAACATATTGCATTCTACTACTACGCATTACCCCCTTTAGTATTGGAGTGGCAGTGTTGTAGAAGGACAGGTTCAGTTGTTCCTATATTAATGTTCCTAATTTATACAGATAGCAGTCCTGCTTTTTCTGTTTTGTTTAGACCTTCATAAGTATCCTTTTATATGTGCGTTTGACAAACAATTAGAAAATATGTTAAAGATTCTGTTTTGGCTTATTAACTTGTTGAGGACGGCTGTCCTACTGTCCCAATAACTCTGACTCTATCCACAAGTTAACTCTGTAATAGACCTTTTACAGGCATAGAAAGTTGCTGTGCATCATTATATTTATTTGCATTCGTTTAACTGCAGAGGTTTCAATGGGTTATTGAAGAGAAAGACAAAAAGGGAACACTGAGTGATGCAACTGTTCCTGTAAACAACCATGACTGGTACATAGGATCAGATGATGCTGTTTATTTCAAAAACTTCAAATATCACCTGATTGAGAAATGCTCATACGTGACAATTTTCTTTAAACAGATACCAATCTCTGTCTGTCTTTGCAGTTACAAAAAGAACCTGGACAGATTCAGTTTAAGGCCCAAGCACTCATCTACCCCGTGCTGCAGGCTCTGGACCTTAACACACCATCCTATCAGCAGAATCAGGACATGCCCATTCTGCCGCGCACTCTTATGGTGCGTTTCTGGAGTGAGTACTTCACTAGCAACAAGGCCCTCTTCAGAGCCATGATGGCCAACACACACAACAACCCTGAGTCTTCCAGCCTGCTGAAGTTTGTCAACTGGAGCGCATTCCTGCCAGAGACATATCATAGGAAATACAACTATAGTGCTCCTGCTGTGCTGCAGGGAGTTGGAGGTGAGGCAGTTGGAATGGATGGACCATCTCGATCTTTTGCTGACCCGAGGGCATCACCCCTGCTGGTTCCAGACACGGCCTTACGCTCTCTGCCCAAGGCCTACATTCTGACATGTGAGTATGATGTTCTCCGAGATGATGGGATCATGTATGTCACACGGCTCCGTGCTGCTGGCGTTGAGGTGACGCATGAACACTATGACAGCGGATTTCACGGAGCGATGATGTTCACTATGTGGCCAACTGACTTCCTGATTGCACATCGCATGGGAGACAACTATATAAAATGGCTCAAGGAAAATTTGTAAAAACTGTTGACTACCAGTAGTTATTCCAGATTTTTCCACACCATGCATCACTGTTTGGTTGGGTGTAAGTTTTTCCCATCAGATGTTTAACTTTTTGTAGTGTGTTTCTTTTTCTTTGATCATGTTTTTTTTTTGTGTAAATACATTGAGGAAAAATATGATTTAATCTCTTTTTCCACTCATGCATTTTACCACATTAGATACAAGTAGGAAAGGGGATTTTGAAAGAATAGTTGATATATTGAATATTGAATGTTGAATATTTTTTTTCCATGTAAATTGGTTTGAGTACAAAACAACAACACACATAACACCATTACACAATACATTAGTAACATTGTGTTTAGTTCAGCCAGCACAGTACTTGAGTAAAAATCAAACTGTGGACTATTACAAAAGTTGGAAGGTTGATTGTTTTTTAGCTCGGTTGCTGGCCTGGTATGATGCTCTGTATTATCGCTTCCCACCACAGGACTTGCTTATTGGTCTTATGTCCATTGCATCAATATCAGTACTATTAGTAGGTAAAGCATAGCACTGAAAAATGAACCACTGAACCATCCCATTAGGGGTTTAAAGAATCCAGTGTAAGTCTTGGCAAAGCAGGAAAGGATTTTCACAACGGTCCTGTTGGCCAAAGTTAACATTTATGAGTGAGTGCAGCTCATACTGAAACCTAAGATTGTTTTGCTGTTTTCGCAAAACCAGAACTTTTGTGTAATGGTTTTTGACCCAACGTCAAAGAATGTTTAATAGTATTCTGTTGAATATGGCAGCAGGTTTTACACAAGGGAACGACTTTAGCTTTGTATCCCATACAAATGTGACACACACTAAAAGTACATCATTTAGACAGGTGAATGAATGGCATCTTCCTCACATTAAAAAAATGATCTTTTTATTATCTAAGAGCACCTACCCCTTTTTTTTTTTTTTGCTCTCCACAGAAACATGTCAGTCTTTGTTGCTTGTAAAAGGTCCACGTCTGAGCTACAAGCAATGGAGTTGATAGTCCACATTCCACACAGGATACTGGTATTTACACTGTTCACTAAAGACCAGGCTGCAACAAACAAACATGCTTCACATGCATTTTGTGGTTCTTCACAGCTGAGTGTGATGTAGCACCATGTTAAAGAGAGGGATTCTTTTTACGAGGGAATTTTTGGAAACATTTTTTGAAGTCTCAGATTTCCTACGGTGCGATTTATTGGGGTATGTATGTGGGTGTGTCATTACCCCCTTTCTTTTTTCGAGCATCATTTTATTATAGTGTGTTAATGTGAGGAAACAGCTTTATATGTGGCAACCCAAAAAGTGCTCTCATTTGGGAACAAAAATAATGGTCACTGTATCATAAATTTGACTTTTATCATGTTAACAATAACAAGCGAGTATTGCTTCCATTAGATACCTGCCTTTGTGAAAAAGATGTGCAGTAGGCAATGACATAAAGGTCGGTGCTGTTAGAAGAAGTTGCCAGTGCAAGACCAAGTGCCAGTTTAATAGGAAAATTATTAGTATGGAAAATTGCGTAGGCACGTGAATATATGGCTGGCACTGTATGGCTGTATACATATCTCTTGTTTGTGTATTTAAGGCTCTGTCTGTATCTCAGTGAACCTTTAGTCCCTGACTTCTGATGTTGCATTTTTTCCTCAGAGGCCCAACTATCATGTGATGTGGCTTCAAACCATTGACTTGTCACTACTGTGTATCTCCTTTGTTTTTGTCAGAAGGGGACATCTGGGCCCTTTGACCTTTCAGCACACGGGACAGCTATCTAAAAGAAATCATAATCATCTGATCAACACTGCTCTGGAAGCTTTACTGTTCAAAAAGAGCTACAGTTAATTTCCCTTCTTTTAAGCATCTATGTGTTTGAATGTTTTTGTTTTTTTCTTTTGCTGGTTTTCCATTATTACAAAGACAGCATGCTGTCACATTAAGGTAAACTTTTTAAACAAGCTTTACAGAGAACCCTGGTTCTTCTGTTTAAACACTTCTACATTCTTCATTGTAAATGTGACTATTTCTATTTATGGCTAGGTTTTCTTCTTTGAGAACATGTGATTTGCATCATTTTTAATTTTAATATTATCTGACAATAAAATGACTTGATTGTTCACTACCACTGATTATTTATATTTTGTGTGCAACCACATATCATGTAAGGAGAGAGAGGCGTTATTGGGAAGATGAGCAGAAGTTTTCTGTTTTGGTACATGATGGTACAGCACATTACACATAGAGAGGGATATTCTGTATAGACTGATTCAGACTCACTCAATCCACTTAGCATCCTTGTTGGATTTGTTGAGGATTCATACAGCTGAGGGAGTTGATCTGCAAATCATCTGTGTTCACAAATATACCGTCAAATCTATCACTACACACACCTACACACTTCTACTCAGAGAGGATGACACACGAGTGTGAATAAACCATTTATACAAAAGGTTGATTCAAATAGAGCGACCTTGTTCATCAGGACACATTAAATAAAACACCTCATGCCTCCAGAGTGTAGAGTGGAATATTTATGTGCTACACTATCCTGCTCATTTTGTTCTTTATCCTGGCCTTGTATGCATGCACATACTGTACATGTATATGCACTTATTCATCCCTCTGTGGATGAAAAATACATCCTGTTCCCAAATTCCTTCTCTGCAATGGCAGGCTAATAACAGAAACGTGAAATGGATTATGGCAAACGATTCCTTGAATCTGTTATATGTAGTAGTTGTGTACGGATTATACCTACACGCAGTGTAGACTGTGCACCAGTACTCTGGTCACGCACAGGAAAGTCAGTAAGAATGTACGCATAACTCATACAAATATGCACTGTGTGTAAACAAGATTTTCTTCGGTTTAGCGCACCATTGTTCATTCAATGAATCATAGTTTTTGAAGCTCAAATACTTAAAGTTTTACGGCTAAAGTCAGTGAAACCAGATTTATTTATGCATTTTGACTGTCAGACTTATGTCGCTAATTTATTATGAGACCATACATTTGACACACAGCAATCATCCTAAAACCTGTATAAAGACCATGTATCCTTCAATGCCCTTTTTGCCTTCGTGACCTTGGTGCAGTATTTTCAAAGCTTTAACATATGAGGACATAACCTTATAATAATATAATATCAAGTTTCAGATTTTGTTTGTCCTCACTTTTAATCTTTCTTTGTCTTGTTGGCTCCATCTCAATAGCACTCCTTTGGTTTTTATTATGAAATTTGAAATACACACAAAGAACTTGACTTAGTATTTCATCATTGCTTATTCTAGCAGAGATTCCAATCCAAATCAAACAATGGATCGAGTGTGGTGTAATTTGTCATGATGGAAAGAGAGCCTGTCTGTTGTGTGAAAGCCACGTGAAGTTAAATGTGTTTACTGGGGATTCGGAGACTTAGTATTCAACAAATGTCACTGATGCGGCTTTTCCACTAAATTAGCTCTGTTTTTTTAACCGGTTTAATTTAGGACTTTTTGAACCTTGGTGCTACCTAACAAACAAGCACACAAGCCCAGTTTTGAGTGGAACTGCTATAATCAACAATGCACCATTAACAGAAGTACATTGAACATAGTTTTTCCAACCTGTAGGACAGGACACTACCACAGATGTTGTCAGATCAAGGAAACAGATTTTTTTTTTTGGTTGAACTACTCTGAACAGATCAGAATCAGGTGCACAAACTGAGACACTGTCACGGAACAGACTCAGAGACTCAGACAGACACGGCAGAGACAGACGAATAAAGCAAATATATGTTTACAATTTGTACAGGAAGCAGGAACACAGTCAGGAACTCTATGCCGATGCCTAGGGGCAAGGCAGACTAATACAACAAAAAACAGATTTTACGACAAGCATTAGTATTAACTAAACAAGATAGTACGCAACCTGAACTTGGTACCACCAAACTGGGAGGGTAGAAAGGAGACTGAAGGCCTACTGACTAGTGGACACCAGAGAAGGGGACGGTGGGCAAGATGTGGAGATGGCAGACAGGTGCAGTGACCAGGTGAGTATGATCCGGGAGATTTTCCAGGGAGAAGCCAGATGCACAGCAGAGATCAGAATGTAGGGGCTGACCAGATTTCCAGGACCGGCGGGGTGGGTCCAGCTGTGGCAGAGACAGAACGGAGGTTAAACAGGACTCAAAGCACGGTGAATAGAGCAGAATAGATCAGAGCCAGAGATCAACTAACAGAAGGATAGTTTACGGTCTGTCGTGGTTTGAAGTCTGCTTTTATGGAGAGCAGAGGTGAGTCATAGGTTGGAAACCATGCCCCACCACAGGTGAAGACACTCGGGTAACCGGCTGATTCACTGCACCTGTCCACACCACACACACCTGCCAGGGCATGCCCACCTAGGAACAAGGAAAGGAAGGAAGAAGAAAAGGGGAAGAAAGGATGCCACTTGGTGGAGCCAGAGGTGGAGGGCATGACTGACACAAAACATTCCATGTTGATGGAAAACGACATTGGGGTCTAATTTGAAAAAAGGCTTTCCTGAGAGACTTCTGAATAATTCCAGCTGTAGAAATCGATCTGAATATTATTGCAACATACAAGAAGGTTTCAGTTAACCATATAAAAGAAAAGTAAATTAACTTTATAGAAAAAAGGAATTAACGCCCAAAGCTATTTATGTGCTGAAAGGAAATACAGTGAAGAAACTAAACAACAAAAAAAAGCTTTTCCGTCATCTGAACCGTAGAATTTTTCAAATGTGGAAAAATATCTGTGCAGAGTTAGTCATGCAAGTCATAGTAAGAGCTAAAGTAGAAGGTCGCTGCACTTCTCTAGGTTAACGTTTCACCTCTCATTTAAGGGGCTTTTTTTTTTTTTTTTGCTTCTGAATGACTGATAGGGAGTCACACACAGGTTGTCACCCCAACTCATATGACTAAGGGCACATTGTATATGCAGTCCAATGTAACATGGAGTGCATAGACCTGTATGTAGGGGAGACTGAATGAGCACTCGGCAAGCATACGATTCAACACAGAGTTCTCAAAACTCAGCAGTCCGCCTGCATCAAAAAGAAAAGGCACAGGTATGCTCACATTCAGGAAAACAGGGCAGATGTTGGAGAGACAAAGTCGTGTATGTCAAACTGGAACCACCAGTTGTAGACTCCTTCCGGCAACAGTAGAAGGATTGTAATGCAGTCTGGAGATCTCCCCAGAAAGTTTCACCATCTTGAATCATCACTGACCTGAAAGTTTCACAACCATTCACACCTCAAGGCATGTGAGTCTTGGGTCATAAATGGACCATTAGCAATGTGAACAGGAGCTGACAATATACGTGTATATTCATTCCAAGCCATAAATCATGATTATTTCATCAAAGTCTGCGCTCCTCAGTGCAATTGTAAAGGTTCAAGGTTCAAGGTTTAGAGTTAAAGGTTACTTTATTAATACCCGTGGGTAGATTTGTTTTGCAGAAAACAAACGACAGCATTTTGGCATTCCATAACAAAATACACATTAAACCTAACAGGCAGGTACTTGATCGAGTGACAAGACAAAAAAAAGACGAGACAAAAAAAAAAGTGCTCAGTATTCTGCCATTCGTCAATATAACAACAAGGAAGAAAAAGATGAGACAAAATAAATAAGATCAAGATAAATAAAAATGAAACACAATAAAACATCTTAGGGAAATAAAAGCAATCTCTGGAGAAAAAAAAAAAACAGGATAAAAACATAAAATTTAATTTAAAAGTCACAATGATAGATAGAGCTAAGAAACAAAACAAGTAGAATAAAATAAAGTGCAAATGTCACTGCTTCTTATTGAGCTCAGTGACAGCGACAGGAACAAAACTGTTTTAATAACGTTTTGTCCTGCGACCAACAGTCACATGGCAAAAACTTTCAGCTTTTCAGCTGAACTGGGCTGAACTGCAGGCTGTGTTTGCACAGAGCAGGTATAACAAGTATGACAACTAATTAAACATATACGTGGTAAAATATTTTAAGTATCTAGACCCACGTTTTCTCCAGTGTCTGTAGCACCTGTGGACACTTAGAAAAGATTTTTGTATGTTAATTTTATTTTTTCATTTTTTTTTGTAAAATTAACAATCAAGGAAATGTAACTATTTTTTTCTGTTTTTGCTTTTTAATGATTCGAGGCCTTGTAACTGTGTCATACTGCATAAAAGACATTTTTGAGTTCTCGCTATGTCTTGTCCAGAGGTGCAGGACTTTCGCAGCAAAAGCTGAGCCCACAGTGAGTAAAATTGAGCAAAAAATAAATAAACAATTAAAAACAGAAAGTGCTTGAGGTTCAGAAGACGAACAATCAAAATCAAAAGTTATTGATACACAGTGAAAGAAGAAAAGTCACTTTGCACTTTAAAGTCATATGAGAGCAGACGATTGTTATTAGTCAAGATATATTTCATTGCTTTAAAAAAACTGGCACGGTATAATATTGGCTGTAATGTACAAACATCCCCCAAAATATCAGTAAAAGTGATAAAACATGCCTTCCCATGTTTATCCAGTTCCAAATTATTTTTCAACAGACACAAATAAAAACAACATTCAAGTAAGCTGCTTAAAATGAAATGTAGTTTTATCTTATTCCACTTCATGGACATGTTTTATCTCCTTCTAACCTTATATACGTGTGGACATGGTAACGGAAACAAAGTGCACGTCAATATCATTAGTAGGCTTTTCAAATATGTTCTTCTAAGACAAAGCTGTAATGTAGTATTAATATTACTGGACAATATTACATCTATTTTTAGGTGGGAAATTATTATTAAATAAATTATAAAAATATTAGGAATTAAAGCAAAAAAATACAGCAAAGCATCACTATGTAAAGTTAGAGCTGACTCATGTATAAATGTTACGCTGATGTATGCTTTTGTATATGCAGGAATCCAGTGGTACCTTTCGTCAGGCTTGCTCTCTTTGCCGCTCTGTCTTTCTGATTAGCTTTCTGAGATTAGAAAGTAGGAGTTCTCTGAATTTGTCACCCATAAGGAAGTAGAAAACAGGGTTGATGACACTGTGCAAGAAGGCCAACGGTCTGGACAAAATGTACATGCTCTCTATGTACATCTTTGTACACGACGGCAGCCCTG